CAAAAGGTGTTTAGTTTGTTCAGTCTGGACTAATGTAAAAAACATGGCGGCCTCCGTAGAGAGGACCCCCTCGATGTAAATATAAAGTATTTAAATATAAAGGGTCTTTTCTGGGGTAAAGAAAACTACAATTCATATAATTTAGATGAAATGAATCAGTTAAAACATCATGAGGATTATTTTACATTCAATTTCTGCCAATAGATCCCTTTCACCTAAATCTTACACACTGGACCTCTAAAGCTGTATTAATTGATCTTTTTGGTCCCACTTGGGGGAAGGAGAATTCAGTGGAATACACAGGTAAACTATCACCATTTTGAGTTTGTAGATAAAATCGGCGACGGTCGCTATCTTCACCAGATAGCAGATTAATTTGTTTGCTGGTGAGTGTAAGCAGGTAGCAGTTGTTTTATCTGATAGGTTTTGGGGAAAACAGCTGTGGACTGTTTATGTGCATGGGTTTGATGAAAACAGAAAGACTGCTGCTATGGAAGCCTTGAAAGGCAAAGGCAATCTTTTTTTAATCTGTGAAAACACTTGCCATGGGAAGCAGGGTAAAAAATATATTTTTTAGTAGCTCTATGCACTCTAAATACAAGCTACATATATTGTGTGTTTGCAAGATATATAACATATACATAAGTGTATTTTAATCAGAGAAGGTTTTTATACTACACAGGCTTTTGGTAGTCAGGTGTCTGCTTGTGAAGCAGGTTGTGATGCATTGATGGGGTCAGAAAGACTTTCACCAAAGACATTCAAGTTAAAATACAGTTATTGACTTCTTTCACTTTTAACAGGTTTTTTTTCTGCAGCTTGATTTTAAAAAAAAAGAATGCCTTGGAGTCGACTAGCTGAACACGATTTTTCTTGGAATGCCCATCTTTGCCTTGCATCTGCAGTTGTCTTGACTTTAACAGAGGCACATTTCGGTTGTTAGTATTTGCTTTTCATTCTTTCTATGACAGGACTCCTTCACAGTCTGTTGAAGAACACTTGTCTCATCATGCCTCAGTCAGTGAAGCAATTTTCTCCTTAGTTCAGGAGCACTCTAATGGGGAACTGCCCCTTGGCACTTCCCCTTGGAAGAATTTCTTCGCAGTTTTTAGTGTTTGGGCATTAAAATGACATTTAAGTTTACTTTGTGATGTCAGTGCTTCAATTGCCTAAAGCAGGGGCAGGGAACATCCAGCAACTGAGTTGCATTGGACACCTGTGACAATCAGACTGTCAGATCATCGTAACAGATAAATAGCAGTTGTCACATGTCATGCTAAGAAAAGAAAATTAGATGAACAATGTAACGTGTTCCCAGAGAAAATTATTATTATTTTGTTACTGATGTAATACACAAGACAGTGGGCATGCATCTAAACTAAATGAGTAACAGGGACTAATGTTCTTGGAGAAAGTTAAGACTCTTCAGTTTAGGTGTCCAATAAGAAACTTTCAAAAGACTGCATCTTAACAGCGACAATGTTATTCAGGCAAGATTTGCAGTCAGTGAGCTGATAGCTTAAAAGCTCTGTTTCCCCCAGGAAGAGTGGCTGATGTTCTGCATCAGCTTAAGGCTATTCTGATAATATTCAGAAATAATTGTGACTAACCAAACCCCAAGAAATAGCCCCTCACTGCTAGGCTGAGATCCAGATGGAATAATGGACACTGTAAAATGTCAGAATGATGGAGGCTAAAGTGAAAACATCCTCCACTTCACGTGTAGTTTTCTACTGTATCTTGTTCATTTATTGCCTCTTCTCCAAAACACATACTGGCAAAACTGAAAAAAGAATTCTCCCAACAGTGTTGGTGACAAAAACAACAATTGGATGAAAGTACACCATTGGAACAATTGCGTCACACAAAAGTACATCTGGTTACTGCTGACAATAAAGAGACTTTGTATTCATTTAACTGTATTTTAGTGGTTGATTTCATGGGAATGATATATACAAATTACATAAATCTGTGACAGGATGTGTCAGATTGAAGTACCCATTTAAAATGACAGCCTGTCTATAAGTAGTGAAGATCCCACCTGAGGTGAAACCAAAGGCAAGTTGTGAAAGGTCTATGAACTCGAATTATTATTTTTTTCTTTGTTGCCAATCGTCTATGTCTAAATCAGAATGATCACAAACATGATAGCATGCCGCTCAGAGGTTTTTGTCCATGTCATTCTGATAAAAAAATAAATATCTTGTCCCTGTGCTCTTTTTTTATGCCAGGTTGGCAGCAGACTGGTCCTCCAGACAGCTGGTCTTCTCATGATCATCCTGGGAATCTTTGGGAAGTTTGGAGCAGTTTTTATCACCATCCCAGACCCGGTCATTGGAGGCATGTTCCTCGTAATGTTTGGAATGATTGCAGCTGTGGGGATATCCAATCTTCAAGTAAATGCATCTAAACTATTATACATATTCCATCGGTTATATCATTTTTTTTTACAGTATCATATTTTATTTGCTGGAAACCTCTAAAGCACCTGCTGTATGGAGTATTAACACACTGTGACACAAAACATAATTTGCTGAAAAGGTCAATCAATCAGTCAAATCAAATCAAATTGTAATTATATAGCCCATATTCACAAATCACAATTTGTCTCATAGGGCTTTAACAAGGTGTGACATCCTCTGCCCTTAACCCTCAACAAGAGTAAAGAGAAACTACCAAGAAACTATATTATAGACAAGCTGTGGAGCCTAATAATAAGGAATTACAATAATCAAGTCTGGATGTGACAAAGGCATGGGCTATTTTCAGCCTCTTTTTGAGACATGTCTGATTTTTGAAATGTTATGTAAGTGAAAGAAGGCGGCCCAAGACAAGGTTCAGTGTGTGAGAATTAGGTGAAAGGGATTTTTTGGCAGAAATTGAATATAAAATAATCCTAGTGATGTGGGGAGTGGAAATTGTAGGACTTGAGAGGGGGTCCTCTCTACGGAGGCTGTCGTGTTTTTGACAGAAGTCCAGCCAGGACAAACTAAACATCTTTTGAGTTTTT